CAAGGTCAGGTCAGGTCAGGTCAGGTCACCAAAAACAAAATATAGAAAAGGGCATGTGCGACACATGTTTTATGGGTCATTTTACTCATAGAATTCAATAGGCACACTCAATAAGTGATATGGACCACCTCTGGATGAATTTCAGGTCGAGGTCAGGTCAAGGTCAGGTCAAGTGAGGTCAAATTTTGAAGTTGGTTTTTGAGGCCTAAAAAGGTGTCTATCTGATGCAGTTTTACACGGCGAATCGAATGGTACTATTTTTGTTTCCGTACAAGGTCTAGAACTTCCAAAAAAGTCATTTTTCAAAAAAAATTGTGTGTCGTGACGTCATAACATTTTGAATAACTTCCACATTTTTGAACCGATTCTTCTAAAAATTGGTATGTAGGTGCACATAGACCACTTCTCTGACATATATTCCGGTTTTTTCGATACACTCAAAATTTTGGATTTTATAGTTATTTTCCCAAAAAAGTCAGTTTTTTGAAAAAATGTGGGCCAAAATCCAAAATTTTCAAAAAACCGAGATAACCATTTGATAGACAAAGTAGAATTACGTATATCCTTTTTTGTTACGTCTTGATTCCTTTAACCCGCGCCCTGGTGGGGTCTGTTTATAACGCGACCTGGTGGGGGGGGGGCTATTTTTTGCCCCCCCCCCCTCGTATCTCCGAAACTACTGGACGGATCCGCAAAATTCAAACGGCGTTCGAAAGGCCTGTCAAATTTGTCGACGGAAACCAAATTTTATTGACATCGGGGTCACCGATGACGTCACAGGTCAGGTCAAAGATGAAATGTTTCACCGTTCACGGGTCTTCTAGGGAATGCGCTATAACACCGAGGAAAACGCATTTTGTCGGGAATCAGCGATAGGGCGTCAGTTGCCTAGTAGATATGTTGCTGTTAGAGGTCACTGGTCATACCAGGTCAGGTCACAGGTCAGGTCACCAAAGGTCACCAAGGGTCACCACATGAACCCAACTTTACTAAGGTTATGCGATGCATGTTTTATGGCCAGTTTTTCATTTCCAACTCAATGGTGTTGGTTATAAGACCATCAGGTACGGTTTAGGTCACTTTCTGGTGGAGGTCAGGTCAAGGTCAGGTCAAAAAAGGTCAAATTTCAAAGTTGATATTTTTGCATAAAATGGGTATTGATTCGATGCAGCTCGTCACGGGGAGTCTAATGGTGGTCTTTGTTTTGCGCTACGAGGTCTAGAATTGCTGAAAATTGAGTTTGAAAATTTGACGTCATCAATTTTGAACAGTTTTTTCGCTATAACTTGGCCAAAAAAAGAGGTATTGATCTCAAATTTGGTATGTAGATAGAAGGCGGTAGGGACTATCACATATATTCCGGTTTTTTCGAAATTCAAAAAACTTTTTGGATTTTTTTGGCTATTATATTCAAAAAATCTATTTTTTGATTTTTGGGGGTCAAAATCCAAAAATTTCAAAAATCCGAGATAGCAGTTTTGTAGCCCTGTTCATTCTACAGCTTTTATGTCTGTATCATTTTTCTGTATTTGCAAAGCTATAGGCCTGACAGCTCTTCCCGCGAAACTCTTTTTTGGGTCGAAAACGGCAGAGCATGACGTCACTCTGACGTCATTTCCGGCCAACCTATCATAGCCTTTGGAAAAATTTTTGGTCACAATGTGTAAAATTGATGTCCGGGAGGGTACTGAAAGTTTGGTGACGATCGGCGCAGTGGTTCTGGAGATATATCGAAAAGTCTGGAGGGGGGGCAAAAAATAGCCCCCCCCCACCAGGTCGCGGGTTAAAAATGAAGATGTTAGCGGCGTTTGAACTTTTGCCGTTTTTGAGGCGAAAATGGCGAACATGACGTCACTAAAACGTCAATTTCTCAAAAAATTTCCGACGGATTTCGCTCAAATTTTCAGGGAACGTGTCAAATTGATGTAAGAAAAGGTACTGAAAGTTTGGCGGCGCTGCGCGCTGCCGTTTTTGAGATATTGCAAATATTCGCGAGGGGGGGGGGTAAAATTTACCCCCCCCCCCAGCCCCGCGCGGGTTAATGAACACTTAACATCTTTAACTCTACAGGGTGTCTCAAAAGTTCGTTGACAGGTACAGCACTCTGCAAACTGCGTGGTAGGTATTCTTTTTTCGACAAAAACGAGAATAACGCGAATACTATGCTAACGGTCATACAGAAATCGTAACAGCAAGACGCGCGCGACTCTGCACCTTAGGTTGGCATTATCATCGTATTCATTTTCCATCTAGTTCGGCAACAAAACCCAAAAGCTTATATTTGTTCCCAAAACAAACTTTTGTATTTTGTTGCCACACAAGGCGTATAGTTTGTTTAGCGATAGACCTAATCGAAGGAGTGGAGCATGGCGCATCGATTTGCAGTGAGATCCGACCGACTGATAGCATAGCCTTTGTATTATCGGCTTTGTCGAAAAACGAATATCTACCACGCAGGTCTGCAGAGGGCTGTACAGTCCACGGCATAAGTAATGTGCGGTTTCAGTCCTGGGTATGTTCTGCTTCTGAAGCTTAGGAATAATTAGCCAGACCACAATGAAACTTTGAATGTAGCTAACCTGTATAGTTACCCTTGCAGCTGCAACTTTATCTATTGACGTCTTCTTTTCGATCACTCCGCATTAAAAAATTGCCGGTCAAAGCCATCCGTTGAGATTGGTAAAACCACACATTACTTTAGCGGTGGGCTGTACCAGCCATGCTTTTTTGTCAATAATTCTGAATCAACAAGAAATTAACAGTCGGAATTTTGCATGGGCATTGGTAACAACCTTCCTCAAGGAGTCTCATTGTTTTCAAGCGCATTCGACCCTTCATGAGCTCACAAAAAGGGTTCATCTCTGACCATGGGTCAGGCATTAAAATGGAGGTCTCAAAATCGGGTCGGCTGAGAAACTCTGTTTCAGGAGTAATGGGAATGGTTAAGTCGGAAATGACACGTGGCAAAGTGTCGGCGATGATGAGTACAACATGATGATCATATAATAAAAACGGTGGTTAAAATTTTTGAGGGACAAAACCATGCGTTTTGAACGACCCTCATACGGCCGCAGACTCTTGCTCCGGAAAGCAGCTGAAAATAAAGTCATAACTATTGAAAACTGACAAGAAGCTCACAGACAGAGGTTATCCAGTTTAAAAAATTGCAGGTCATCGTAAAATAAAGACAAAGTATCATTTGAAATTGTTTATGATATCTATAACACTAAATTTTTGGGGAAAATAACACGAAAATCGTCAATGCCAAGGACAACTTACCCTCCAAAAGTGTCAATTAATGTAAAGTTTTATCTTACGAAGTTTCAAGAGGCAGATCTGGAGTGAATAGCTTTCTTTTAGACCAAAATCCCGACAAAACCGCACGATTGACAGGTTTTGGCCGTATACAAAGCAGAACCTCTCCTGAGGAAAACACTCCGCAACCCATCGACCTACTCCGTCTTGGCATGGGGAATGACGAGCGTTTGGGATTTGCAAAATTTGCACAATGTGTCTAAGAAACAGGTGGCCGAGACATTCTGCTACGATATGCTGCAAAAAATTTTGGCACTTCCCATTTGTTCAGAAATGGGGTTGTTTTGAAAAGGAAAATGGTGCAGGGAGGTCGGCGCCAGTCATTCATGAAGGAGTTAGCGCCAGAGAAGACCTACAAAATACTCATGGATGGTGTCGATGCAAGCTGTCGGCTTTCAGGGAAAAGCGGATGTTGCCGGGAAGCTCGTCCGTCAAACCTAAATCCGACGCAGAAACTGCAGGGGATTCCCCTACAAGAGCTTGGAAGCTGGTAACCTTTTATCAGCCTCCGGCAGCTGACGGAGAGACGAAAATCGGTATGGGCAAATATTTTTGGAAATACAGCAAAGGGTTTGATTTCCAACCTTGCGAATCAGTTGTCAAAGCATGCATATTTGTCTAGTGTGCACACAGACACCAAAACCTTAGATTTTTGGCCGGTTCTTATATGCTTTATGGGCATTGGAAATGTGTCAACGAACTTTTGAGACACCCTGTACATCGGATCGTCATCTACAATAAGGTGGGTGGTAACTGTAATGACTTGCAAAATGAGCGGTATTTTGCATCGGAAGTTCGCTCATTTTAATACATTACCTTATGGAATGATCAAAGTTCACCGGTTTTCGTTAAACTTCCAAGCAGCCAGTAGTTCTCCTCGTATACTGGCTCTGGTTTTCTGCCTCACGTATTCGGAGCGAGCGGGGCCGGGGCCAATCTCATCAGGCTGGCCTGTCGTTGTTCCCGTACTGCGGAAAGGAAACTTAGTCCAAGTGGCGCAACGCAATTAGGCGGCCCGTCGCTGCCGTATTGAGTTGTCGCGTCAAATTATTGAGCGAGTCCGGGCGTGAAAGGAAATCTGTTTGCTTCAGCGCGCCATTGTGTTTCGAGTAAATTCCGCACTGATAACAAATCATCTCTGGCAGTGCATTTACCAAACAGCAGTTTCAGAGGTCGGCGAAGGCAACGCCAACCTTTCCGGCGATGGGAATAGGTATATGTCTAAGAAAGGTAGGTATTTGCCGGCAATGCTGCCATCAGGATGCGCATATAGGCTACATTCATCTCAGCATGATATCGTGATATTGTCATTCCTCCCCGGAAAAGTCGTTCTTTCCAACCGCATTCCTTCCTTCCGAACCGCGCGGAATAGCGCCGAGTGCTGAGAACTTCGCTCTCTGGACAGAACTTGTCCGAGAGGTGCGCAAACTAGGGACAGAGAAAGACAGAATCATATCCAGGAGAAGGCCCAATAGCACAGCGTCTGTCTATTGCGCATGGGTTCATTAAGGGCTCTACAGACAGACTTGGAGGTGATATGAGGAAGTGGAGTGAGTCACTGTATATGTGTATGCACATTAGATGTCAAATGAATTCACCTTGCAACCAAAGCAATGAAAGCTCAAGTCACCATCGACTGCCGTGAAAATGGGACAGCATGAAATCATGACCTCATAATCCAGTGGTACGTGAACGTTCATCATGTTTTATTAGTATTATTTCTTCACACGGCATAAGTGTGACAAACTGAGTGCCCGCAGGCAACCAGACGGCATAAATCATACAAACGCTGTGGCTCGGAACAAGGCACCGCGGCTTACAATGCAGCGCAGACACGCCCCCACACAACAGCGAACGACACTGGAGGCATTGAGCAAAAGGAACCGAGCACAGAGCACGGAACTGTGCTGTGAGCTACACACAATACAGGGAACTACATACATCATCAATCCTGAACTGTACTCACTGCACGAACTATACCCACTGAAAACGTATCAGGCACACTGAACTTAATCCAATGCACGAAAGAACAATGTACGATCAACGTGCTGAAGAAGAGCGCCTTTACAACGCATTTCTCTTCTCTATGAAGCCCCTATCTGTGACATACGGGTTTGTCAAACGTACTTGTCGGAGGGCGAACATAACGGGCTGGCGACCAGAGGTCACTCCCTGGTGGATAGACCTCACACACTGCCAGGGAAGTCTCACCCGCAGACCTCACTTCCTGGCGGTCAGACATCGCTCGCTGACTGGGAGACCTCACTCGCTGGAGAGCAGAGCTCACTCGTTGATAGGCCATTCACTTTCTGGCGGACAGACCTCGATTGCCGACAAGCTCACTCACTCGCTAACGGCAGGTGGGCCATCAGCAGCGGGCCGTGGGGGTCGTCGAATCGATCCATGGTCGGCACGTTCATCAGCATCTTCACGGAGATGATCAGGATAAGCAGCATCAGCAGCGTGACGAACAGCCCGGATAGGATCGGAATGGTGAAGAAGGTGGTGCAGTCCCAGGCGCGGCCGAAGCGAGCCTTCGCGCCCTTCGCCAGGAACGCCTGGACCTGTGGAGTGGGGAATGATTGAAACAATGGGGATCATTGAACAGACGGAACAACAGCCATTACTGTACCTGAGAAAAGAAGATAATAGATGTGCATTGTGCACAATATATAAATACAGAAAGAAAACATTAGGGAATAACTTTAAAAATGGAACTATTGTACTGGGACATATTGTTTATGGCAAAAAGAGTTATTCCACAACAGTAAAGTTTATATAATTGGTAGCTTTTGAATTGTGTAAAATGAGATTGTATTTTTTCAAATGTGTATTGTCTTGTTGTGTTAGAAACTAACCTATGGCTGACGAAGAAGGCAGTAGCATTCGAAAGCTACCAATTATATAAACTTTACTGGTGTGGAATAACTCTTTTTGCCATAAACATTAGGGAATGCATATTTTTAACATGGGGTTACGTGAACAGCAGTAAATAAAAAGTACAAGCGCATCAAGTGGCCAAACGCGTCAGTTTTAGTCATCATCAATCAATGTTGCACTAGCCAGACTCCATCTGATGGCAGGGAGGAAATATGCTGGTAGGCTCAGATCACGTTATCATGATTTATGTGACAGTAGTTCTCAGGAAGGAGCATACTACAGAGGCATGGTAAAGGGATGCCTTACGTCTTCCGCATTTTTACGTCTGGTTCATGTGCAATATACTAACGTATGTAATTGCAATAATGTGGAACGTGGATTGTATGTGTATTTCCCATATTCCTTTCTGATGACATGTTAGGTACCGTCAAATATGTATGTGGGATAGTCGGAATATCAAAGTGCATTCACTAATGTGGCGTGGAAAATATAAAGGAGGAATGCGATTAAGCAAGGGAAACAAGGAACTCGAATAATACGTTAAAAATGGCACCATGAGTTTAACTTTAAAAAACTTATACGAATCAGCAGGTAAGCACGAATGCGTTACATGGCCCCATGAAATATCGAGCCAAGGCTTGGGTCCGAGTTCCGGAACCGCTCTCAGTCCGGCTGGCCCGAGGTGCTGTAGACGGACCCGTACCCTCTGCCTCTCAGTGGCGGCGGCCCCCGTAGGTGCCGCAGGCCGTCGCTCTATTCTTGGACGACTCTCCTCAGCAGTGGGACGATGGGTCGGAAATCGCCCGGAAAATTGGCCGCCTGATAAGTAGGTATGCCAGAGCATACCGCGGTGATTTTAGGCCGTGGAAAGAGATGTCTTGGGATGTGGACCACGACAGTGCAGTAGTCGGAGATGAGAAAGACGATGATTTGGGGTATTTTCTGTCCCGCTGACGGCCGTTTGGGCTAGGGATTCAGTTACATATTTTCGTAATTCTGATTAAAGAAGAAATTGATGCGGATGTTCAATTTCAACCATAACGACTTCAGCCGAAAATAACATGAGGAATATTTATTATTTTAGCTGGGCAGTAAATGCTATTGCGGACAGATGCTGTTATTTAACCGGCACGGGAAGGTCACGCTGACGTGACGGTCACGAAATGGCGACGGCCGTTTGTCCGTGTCATGTCACGCCAGGGGACGGAGGGTGCCGTTTGCCGAGGTGGAGGGCAATGCTGCTTTATCCGTTGCTCACCCATATCATAGCGGTTACCTGGTAAGTCAGCAGTAGCGGTGTCAGAGGTGAGTTATGCACACTATATCGCTAATGGGTGGGGACACAAATCAACCCCTAGTTATCCAGCGGTATATATGCCTGCCTCTGTCATTAGAAACTCGCTGGTCAACCGCGAGCGGTCACCACCCACTGCTAAGAAGACGTCGGTCATCAGGCCGCCGAACCACAGGATACGCCAACAGTTTTGAGCGCCGTGTGCTAATATCTCGGCACCCAAGCAGCAATCAGCCAAATGCTAACAACGGACGGTTAATGGGCATTGGGCAATGAACATTGTTAGTGTTGAAGATTTCCATGGTGACCTAGACAGCCGACAGTGAGGTCAAGGTATGGCTTGTGGATGTAGGTAACTAAGCGAGTTTCTAAGTTTAATTTAACTTAATCAGTATTTAAATTATTTAATAAACTTTAATTATTTACTTTAACTTAACTAAGTAAATAAGAAGTATATCTATGCGTTAGAAGGTATTACTTGATAAGTAAGCACTGGATTTAACTTTATTGGTAAGCACTAAGCATCGTGGGGTTAACGATAAATCTGACCATTTACGTCTTAATGAGGCTAGGTCCTACTCTTACCTGAAATCCCGGCAGCTGGATGGCAGTCAACACTGGCGCGTCGTTGTCGGTGGCGTTGGCTGACGGCTCAGCCGCCCACATGCGGCTGGTGCAGTGGTACGAGAAGTGACGCGGCGCGTACACGTCGTCAAAGTCCAGCGTCACCACCGCCTTGCTGATGGCCTTGTCGTCCACGTTGCCGGCGTAGGAGAGGGTGACCTCGCTCAGCGTCCAGAAGGAGACATCGGTGCCGCCGGGCCGGGTCATGTTCGCCCGGAAGGTGAGGTTCAGCGTGACGCCAGCGAGGTCGACAGACGAGCTGTTGGCGTGCTGCCAGACGATGATGGCGCTGTTGACGTCGCTGCCGTTGCAGCTGCTGGCGTTGGAGCTCGGAGAACCGAGCGGCAGCAGCAGAGGGTGCTGAGAGGTGGCCGCCTTCATGGACATGAAGTGGATGACCGGCGAGTCTGATGTGTACAGCAGGATGCAGCCGAGGTTGAGGAAGAGATGATGTGGGGTCGTCGGCTTGTCGGGGGCTTTGTCGGGGGTAGAAGCCTTCAGGCTTCGACTGGAACGTGATTCAATATCTTCACCAATGCTTGTGTAACGTCCAGTAAGCATAGCCACGTAGTTATCTGTGAGACGTCGCACTTGTTCAAGCACATGTTCAATGGCGTCGTCCACTTGAAGCAGGGCCTCGCGTCTGTCTGCAGCTGACCGGTCCTTGAGGTTGACAAGAAGCAGGGTCTTGGTGATGCTATCCCCCAGACGGATGGCTGACGGACCGCTGGCGCTGACGTTGATGATTTGGAAGGAAGTGAGCCTCTCCATCTCCACTGAAGGCATGCTTGGTGCAAAGACGTGCTCACTGGACTCGAACTCGCTTTGAAGTTGCGAGAGCGCGTCTGGATACCCACTGAAGTCTTCGACATTGAGCTCGTTCATGAGGAAGATGACCAAAAGCTCAGATTCCATCGCATTGAGGAACTGGTAGAACTGGGACACTTCTTCTGTCGGCGAGGCTCTCTGAAGGTCAGGAAGGGTCAGGTCACCGCGTCCACTACTTGATTTCCAGAGAAGCACTGGAGTACCCACGTGTGCACATGATGGAGCTAGCAAGAGCAATAGGAGCAGCAGAACACTCTTTGCAAGCATCGTTAACTACTTATATATTCAGTAAAATAAAGTTTCTTTTCGAGGATTTCGCTCTAAAAACAAAAAAAAAATGTTTATGAAAGCGACCATTCAGCGAGCAGTTCCTACTGATGGTTCTGCGGTCTCTCGTCACGTTTTCTGTGAAGTAAATCGGTTTTCCAATCCGTATGGATTGCGTGTGGATTTTTAACGATATGCAACAATACTCCCTCGTGGTCATGCACCTTTGAAGTACCTCCACTCGGGAGAGAGTCCATGTGGTAGTTGTCTCGGTTCTTTACTAGGCCCTGTATGTATGTGTATGTGTGGTTGTCCGTTTTTTTATTAATTAATAAAGCAGCCTGCACTCTGCACTTGCCACTTTCAGTCACCAGTGGATTGAACTAGAATTTCCCGAAAATTTATACTGAGCCTAAATATCGCATATACTACATAGACCATTGCCCTTCTCTTACTTTGTTTTGACGGTTTTGACCATAGCGAAACTAACCAATAAAACATACATTCACCGGTGTGCTAAATAAAGAATGATCATGCTAAACCTCTCAATTAAGGAGCCGACCAAAAGTCGGCTCTGTCGACTTTTTGTCCGATTCTTTCCATGCAACGCCTATAGGGCTAATGATAAAATGCCAAAATCAATGGGGAGGCGCGGTGCCCTGGTGCCCTCCCCGTTCCGCCGCCTGTGGTTGGTTTCCACACAACACAACACGGGCACTGGCAGGGTTTACTGCTCTCGTTCAGCGTCGCGGTTCCCGTTACCGCCTGGCACGTAGGCTGGCCCGCAGTACACCAATGCATTGCGGGTCACGGGCGGGCTAGAGCCCAACGACGCAGCGACGGTCGGTGAAATGTATATGTATTTTCAATCATTTAATAGGTACGCGTATTATAACACTACCGACTGTTCAATGTAAGTGCATGCAGCTACTACTTGAAGTCTTGACAGCTAAAGTTTCGAAGCGAAGAACCCTCAATTGAGAAACTCAACAAACCCAGGAAGTCGTATCAACAAGCAGAACTTAGGCTGATTGCCGAGAAGTACAGACTGTAGTGGCGATCAAGTTACCGGTAGGGTTTAGTGTCTCATTTTTTAGAAGTAGACTTGTCGCAATGTACCGCCACTGTCGGCGTGAGTGGTCTCTTTAAAATGACCGATCAATACGGCTGGAATTAGCCCCGACCTCCGACTACAGGGGTCAGAATCACCGCAGCCAGGTTCGTCAGTTGTCTCCGACTCTGTTCCATTGTTGCTGCGTCTGGGACCACGGCAACAGGATAAGTTTAGCGAGTTCTCCGTGACTGGGTCGCGTCAGTGGACTCGTGTGTCAGGCTTGCCGGCTTTCCAGTTTGTTGGATATGTTCAACCTGTTCAACGAACACTCTTTGATCTCTAAAGCTTCCAAGAACTTGTGCTCTCCAGTTCGAACCCGCATCAACTTCCTGATTGCAAGGTAACTCGATAAACTCGTGTAAATTGGATATGCTCTTGCAATTTAATTTGCGACAAATAAGAACGGACGCAATAACATCTGGCATTCGTTTAAAGTGTTTTAATTTTGGACAGAATAAGCCATTTGTCGTCGCCTTTAGTTTCGCCGCCAAATCGACAGTTCTGTCCCCGAATACAGCCTGCGTTCCCTGTGGAAATAAATGGCTCGTCGTGCGGGTCTGCAGCCAGACCGCAGACATCGTCCGCAGTGGCGGTCTGACGCACCGCAGGGTGTGTGGTCTGGTGCCCGCGGCAGCGCCGGATGGACGGCCCGGGCCGGTTTGTTGTTCCACCGGCGCCCCGTGCGCTCCAAATGTGTGTGTGTCTGTGTGTGTGTGTGTCTGTGCCGCCCCGGTCTGCAAGCCTATCAGTACGGAAATGTGTCATCAAAGCTGCAGGGGACGGAAAGCGCATAACATACGAGCCTAATTCGCTTCATGGTTAAATGCGCCTTCACTGGATGCAGATTGCAGAACCGTTTCGCCGTAGGTAATGAGTGCTTCAATAGGAATAAAGCACCGGGAACGCCAAACATTTAGCAATGAAATGAGCAACAGCCTGGTTATTACGAGCGAGCGAGCGCAGCGAGCGAAGCGAAGTCTTTTCAATATAAGGGAAAAATCTCAGTATGAGCGGCCCGGCCCGGCCCGGCCTGTAACGCTTTTGAGAGGCTTATATCTCAGGAACCGCTGGACCGATTGCCCTGCGGTCTTTTTTGCTGGGTAGCCACATCCCTTCTACCCCGTAATTGACTACTTTTGATACATCTCAGTGACCGTCGTGGCACGTGCCACGTGAAAAGTCAAGGGTGTTCAAGCAGTTTTGCGAAAGTAGTGATTTTGAGAGGCCCATATCTCAGCAGCGGCTTGAGCGATTGTCTTGCGGTAATTTTTATACGGTAGCTGCATCCCTTCTACCAAAGGTTGAATACTCTTGATCTATGTGAGTGACCCCCAGTGCACGTGCAAAATACAACAATAAGAGGTGTCAAATTTGTTCCCATTTCAATAACTCTGTAATTACTGGGGCGATTTCGCTGAAACTTGGCATACAGGTAGGCACCCACCAGGCAATGCATTCCCATGTGTTGCGGTTAGGGTGCTACTGCACGTGCGCACGTGCAGGGGGCGCTTCCAGATCTCGAGAACGGCTGGGCCGATTGCGCTCAAATTTGGTACACGGTTGGGGACCGGTTAGGAGGGTGCCGTGCAAAAGTCAGTTTAAACCCCGTTTGCACGTGCGCACGTGCAGAATGCCGCTTCCAAATCTCAGGAACGGCTGGGCCGATTGCGTTCAAATTTGGTACACCGCTAGCGACCGGTTAGAAGGGTGCTTTACACAAATCCGTTGGAAGTACCCTCTCGCCCTTCCGCACGTGCAGGGCTCACTATCTCGCTCGCTCGTCCTTCGCCCAAAAGGCGTTTTACTGGTAATAATTACGAGCGAGCGAGCGCAGCGAGCGAAGTGAGTCTTTTCAATATAACGGAAAAATCTCAGTATGAGCGGCCCGGCCCGGCCCGGCCCGACCCGGCCCGGCCCGGCCTGTAACGCTTTTGAGAGGCTTATATCTCAGCAGCCGCTGGACCGATTGGCCTGCGGTCTTTTTTGCTGGGTAGCCCCATTCCTTCTACCCCGTAATTGACTACTTTTGATACATCTCAGTGACCGTCGTGGCACGTGCCACGTGAAAAGTCAAGGGTGTTCAAGCTGTTTTGCAAAAGTAGTGATTTTGAGAGGCCCATATCTCAGCAGCCGCTTGGGCGATTGTCTTGCGGTAATTTTTGTAGGGTATCTGCATCCCTTCTACCAAAGGTCGGATATTCTTGATCTATGTGAGGGACCCCCACTGCACGTGCAAAATGCAAAAAGAAGAGGTGCCAAATTTGTTCCCATTTCAATAACTCGGTAATTACTGGGGCGATTTCGCTGAAACTTGGCATACCTACAGGTAGGCACCCACCAGGCAATGCATTCCCATGTGTTGCGGTTAGGGTGCTACTGCACGTGCGCACGTGCAGGGGGCGCTCCCAGATCTCGAGAACGGCTGGGCCGATTGCGCTCAAATTTGGTACACAGTTGGGGACCATTTAGTAGGGTGCCGTGCAAAAGTCGGTTTGGACCCCTTTTGCACGTGCGCACGTGCAGAATGCCGCTTCCAGATCTCAGGAACGGCTGGGCCGATTGCGTTCAAATTTGGCACACCGCTAGCGACCGGTTAGAAGGGTGCTTTGCACAAGCCCGTTGGAAGTACCCTCTCGCCCTTGCGCACGTGCAGGGCTCACTATCTCGCTCGCTCGTTCTTCGCCCAAAAGGCGTTTTACTGGTAATAATGTTTCCGTGCATTAGGATCAACCCAATGTTTTATCAGCATTATTCAGTTTCGACCAATTACTGCTGATCAAACGCAAATAGTAATAATTGGCATTTACTGTCGGCATAATCAGGCGGAGCTCATTTTCTGTTAATTTTATGTTCAGTCCAACAATTGTTGGCTCTTTATGAGGCGATCAAAAGTTCAACTATTTCATGTGCAATGAGGATGTTGCTATTAACTGTTGCAAAATTATTAGTGCTGCAAATTCTTCTTTTGATTTTTGTGAGTCTCTGACATTTCGACGCTCATTTTAACTTTTCGCCACTGTAACCTCATCTAACATCCCTGATGACCTTTCGACCTGCCGCCGTCACCGTGAGCTCTGCAGCGCTGTGTTGAACCCGGCTGACCCTTCTCTCCACGCCGGTGCGTGTGGGACGATTCTCGGTACATCCATTACTGACGGGTGGCACCGGACACTAATCCAATCAACCCCGGACGCAACGCCGCTCTCACGCAACGCAGGCGCTGTCCGGGCAAATAGGGGTTAGTGGCTGACGTAGGCCGCGCTGTGGTGACGTACATCCCGCACAGAGGAATAGCCGGCACTGCGCTGACGCCGCCAGGAAGCATGATTGAAACACGGACGAACAGGCCACGTGAGTGGCTGCTATCTGATACATCTCCCTGATGGTTGCAATACGATACAAGTGCAGTGCAGTTGCTTCCTCCCTTGCATTGCGAAACACAAAACTGGCTTTTGATATACAAAGTGTTGTTACTATGCTAGTATGTTAGTAGAAATGATCTCGATAATATGTCGCTGAATGGTGATAATAAGTACGACATGAAACTAAAACCCTTTTTACCAATCACGTTTATAAAAGCACCACAGTCTACACTCTACATAGCACACAGTGCTGTTACAATGCTGTTTAAGCACCATATCTACCGAGTACCGACCGACATTACTTTAAAAGTATTGATGTGCTTTCCTGAGCTGCAGTACCAAGCTGGTATGTAATCTGTCATTTGTCATCTGCTAATTGCAATGCATGCATTTTTTAACAACCTCGAGAAGTTGCCTTTAGTTCAGAATCTGTTGCCTGGAGGACCCCGTTTTGTTTACCGAGGGAGCGAAGACAGACGAAGACATCTGGACTTCTAATTCACATGCGAAATAATGTAGCGCTCTCTCGGCGCCTTATTATGTAGGCTCAGCGCCAGCGAGCTGGCCTGTAAACACTTCATAAGGAACTGGGGGATTTTCGGCGCCCGTGCTACAGAGTTGGCTGTGCGATAGCAAACAGTCGACTGGCGCGCCCCGTAGCCTCTCTATTGGCCCTGCTGAGCAGCTAACGAGCAATTGGCCAGATCGTCACCGCCTTACTAGTGACCTTGTTCTAGGCGGTCGTTTTAGGGCGCACTTGAACAGTCATGCGCGCATCGCCGTTTGCGCGCATCAGTCATCACCACTGTGAAAGCTTATTTGGCCGTTTTTAGATGATCTGTAACAGCTTATGCTTATGTGACTGTTTTGGGTGAGCCCTTACAGTGTAGTAGTGACTGTCTTGGGCAGCCTCTGACAGCGCTCGTGTTTGGTCGGCTTTAGGTGAGCTCTGAATTTGAAAGCGCGTCTGTGGCCGTTTCAGGGCAGAGATGTCCGCGGCTGCAGCCGGCCGGCCCAACACCACCTCATCTGAGCCTCGCCCTCCCGCCGAATCGACCACAGACCACTCAGCAAACAGCCTGGGAATCTCACCAGTGGAGCCTGCGCGGACCGCTCCCGCCACCGCCGGCTCAGACTCCGCCGCCGCCGGGCCGGTGCCGGCGCCGTTCCCGGGCCTGAAGGACGCCAAGGTCGGCCGGCTGGTGCACCCGCTGGACGAGGGCATCCTCTGCTCGTTCGTCGGCTCGTTCCTGGTGGTGGCGCTCAGCCTGACGCTGGGCATCTGTCTGACGCTGGTACTACTGGTGCTCTACCCGCTGGCGGCGGCCGGCCGGCGCGTCAGCGTGCTCTGCGCCTCCTCACTGCGCCGCCTGCCGCTGAAGCGCCGCCTCGAAGTGATGGCCAACCTGGTGTCGCCGCACGATGCCCAGTGGCTGCAGATGGTCGAGCCGGACTCGGCCGCGCCGCCGCCCGTCCACCAGGCGCTGCTCATGTTCGACGACCAGTTCCAGCTGGAGGCGGTGCGCCGCGTGGTGGCCGCCCACCTGCAGCACCCGAGCCTGGCGCGCCTCTCGCAGCGCGTCGTCTCGTTCGCCACCGGCAGCGCCTGGCTGGCCGACGACCGGTTCTGTGTCGAGCAGCACATCGTGTCCGGTCCACAGCTGGACGGGGAGGGCGAACTGGCCGAGTTTGTGGGCGCAGAGGCGGCGCGCGGCCTGCCGCTGGACCGGCCGCCCTGGCAGGCGGTGGCCGTGACGGTGGCCGGTCCGCCGCGCCGCACCGGCCTCCTGGTGCGGGTGCACTGTGTCGTGTCGGACGGCATGGGTCTGCTGCGCGCCCTGTGCCACCTGCTCTCGGAGCCGGCCACCGGGCCGGTGCCGCCGCGCGCCACCTTCGGCAGCGTCACCTACTCGCTCAACTGTGTGCGCGCGCTGTTCGTGGCTCCGGTGACCGCCGCGCAGTGGCTGCTGGGCTGCCGCCCGGCCGCGGCGGGGGCGGGGGCGGCGGGCGCCTCCAGGACAGACGTGTGCCTGGGCGGCCTGAGCTGGGAGCAGGTGAGCCAGGTGAAGGAGGTCACCCACCAGTCTGTTCAGGAGATCCTGCTGTCGGTGGTGGCCGGCGCCGTCCGCAGCGAGCTGAAACGCGCCGGACTCACCACGCCGCCCAACCTGATGGTGAGTACGGACTGTGGAGGGGGTGGGGGGGGGGGAGTCGACATCACCACCGCTACTACTGCCAACGCCTCAGCTGCCACTCACATACACCTAACCGCTTATCAAGGATTAGCGAGTGGCCTACTGCATTGGTGAACTGCTTAATTTTCCGAGATATGCAGGCATGTACTTTACTTCATGCATTAATCAAGCCGTCAATTTTTCTACGCGTCATGTATTCTAAGTTTACTTGAATACCGCTCGTTGTATTATTTGCGCTCTGTGATCTCTGATCCCGATCAGCCATTGACCTTCTTCCGATCCCTCCCTAATTAGGATTAGTCTGGATGCCGCTATTGGTTTCCTGTTAATGACATGACCGCAGCAGCACTGAATAACACATCCGACAGCGACCGAAACGAATAACCAGAATAAACAGGCTGGCATAATGGACCACATCCAGCCACCATGAATGCCAATAAAAATATCCGCATGCTGCGCTGAGCGGCTCGGGCAGTCACGTCCCGGCTGAATGGCATCCACAGCTCATCGGACGACTGCTAACGGACCGCTATTGGGTGCGGTGACGCGGCGGATGGCCGACTGAATGCCCATAAACCCTCGGCGACCTCCCGGATCCCACAGTCACATATCTGGGGGCTGCAGCAGACACGCCGCCGCACATACTGATGGAGGCGGGGGTGCCTAATGGCGGCTGGGCACCCACTGAATATGGCAAATGCGGTGTTCATGTCTTCTTCTCTCTACTAACATCAATTTGCCCCTCTACACCTTTTTGCGTTGTTCGATGGCCAATCAGCAAAACCCATTCGTCCGATCAGCACATAGGTGGCGCCAGTGAGAGGCATTCCGGCAAAACCTTCAGCATATGGGCAAAACGGAATGCTGATCCCACTCCACAGTTCGTCAGTTGGTATTACCTTCGCTATTCGCCATAACTGATTGAGTTCCGGCAAAACCTTTGACGATTTGGATACATGCTTCGTCATTCGTTAATATTCCTTCGTCGTTCACCAAAGCATCCCCATGCTAATTTCGGCATTCCTCATAACATTTCGTCAAAACTAAAAACAGATCGCCCCTTTACAGAGAAGTATAAATATGACCACGTTTATACAGTGCAGTGCGAGGCATAGGTGGCGAAACTCGTAGACCATTGATCCACATAAAAATCGGTAGCGTTCATGAGCGCCATAGGTACCTACAATGTAGATGGACGCAGCTGACATGTTATCGGCTGATTGAAAAATGGACAGGCAACAGAGCAACATGCTGGATAAGTTAACCCCGCCTGAAACACCAAGGAACAGGCAACAGGCTGGATAAGTCAGCCCCGCCCCAAAAACCAAGGTGTCCGGCCGGCAGGGCCCGGCTTGCCATCTGTCAGCCATTCCCTCGCGAGTCCGACCGGCGCGGCCGCCCGAGGCGTTGTCCCATGACATCGCACGGGCAGTGACGCGATAATGACGGCCGACTTCGTAGTTTGTATCGAATCGCTTAGGAGTCCGACGCTCGACCGTCTACAACCCTACTCGGTATTGCGCCGGTAGTCTCCTCGTAGCTATTGCATATCTGCCTTTTTTCGGAATCCAATGGTTAATTGGTTGCAAATTGCGCTGGAACTGTCATAAGCCTCATCCCTGAATGCGTGATTAACGTTAAACATTGAATATGGCTAGATAAGCACTACATCATTGACATTTTGATCATTGACGAAAGTTTTAAATCAACAGTCATTTTTTACGCACAGTGCCGATGAATTTTGCACATCGACTAACCATTTTGTGAAATGTCGAAGCATTATGACAATCTGACAAAGTGTTTTGCCTATGACGAACATTGTGCTCAATGACAAAGAGTTATGCAGAATGGTTAAATGGAGTCCAGCCTGTTTTGCCGACCGTCAAACAGTGATGCACATCACCGATGGGTTATTCTGAATGACGCTTGTCCAAACTGATGCCGAAATGGTTATGACGATTGGCCATCGAACAACGCAAAAAGTTGGCTGAGTAAAGGCCGATCGCCCACTGGTGGCAGTTCCTGCTCCTGGAACCACCCGCCACAGTGGGGTCACGACAGGAAAAAAAAACAAAGAAGAACAAAAAAAAAATTGTTGAGACCATGACCGATGGTCCGTCCCCTTCGCTGGCTCGTCTCTGACTGTCCTATATCCCGCGCTCCCCTCGTGCCTCCCGCCCCAGCCCGCCCGCTCCGCTTATCTCTCTCCCTCCCACCCTCCCTCCCTCTCCCTCGCTCTCTCCGGCATCTGTCTGCCCTCGCCCAACGCCTCTTAGCCGGGGGGCCGCTAAGTTGCCATTGGGCTCATGCCTGACGCCTCCGTGATCTAGACACTCTGTTGGCTGAGTAAAGGCCGATCGCCCACTGGTGGCAGTTCCTGCTCCTGGAACCACCCGCCAAACCCCGCCAAACAATAGGCCACGTAGCTAATTGTAAGCTCCTAAGAGCTTCCACAGCCACTCGTAGTGTTCCCTAGAGATCGGGACCGGAACCATCCGGAGCGGTCTGCCCCCAAGGGCAGGAACCCGAGAGCTGGTCCAGCCCACTGTAAGCTCCCAAGAGCGCACAGCCACTCGCCATGCTCCCTTGAGCTCGCGACGGGAAAACCCCCGTAGCAGTCTGCCCCCGGGGCAAGGAACTCCCAAAAGCTTAACCAGCCAACTGCAAGTTCCCAATTGAGCCCTACGGCCACCTATCATACTCCCTTGAGCTGCGCCAGGAAACGCCCGTAGCGGTCTGCCCGAGGGCATTAAGCTCCCAAGAGCTCGCGCAGTCAAGTGGAGAGCTCCCGAGAGCTGCCACGGCCACCCGTCATGTTCCCTAGAGCTCGCGCAGGGGAAAACACCCGAAGCGACCTGTCCTTAAAGGCAGAAAGCTCCCGAGAGCTTGTTTAGCCAACTTTAAGCTCCTAAGAGCTCTCGCAAATCGCAGCCATCCGTGATGCTCTCTTGCGCTCCCTAGAGCTCGTGGCATGAAACATACGTAGCGGTCTGCCCCCAGGGCAAGATGCTCTCAAGAGCTCGGAGCTCGCATCGCCAACTGTAAGCTCCCAAGAGCTCTCGTCAGCAACCTTAGAGCAATAAGCTCCCGAGAGCTCGCACGGTTACCCGTCATGCTCAATAGAGCTCCCGCTGTGAACACTCTTAGCGGTCTGCCCCCAACGGCAAGAGGCTCCTAAGAGCTCGCACAGCCAACTGTAAGCTCCCAGGAGCTCTCGACACGAACCCCATAGAGGCTTCCCCCGAGAGCAATAAGCTCCCAAGAGCTCGCACGGCCATCCGTCGGCTCCCAAGAGCTCGCGACAGTAACACCCGTATCCGTCTGCTCCCAAGGACAATAGGCTCCCGCCGGCTCGAGCAGTCGCTTGTGCTCCTAAAGCTTCCAACAGTAGCGCCTATGCGGTCTGCCCCCAAGAGCAATAGCTCTGAAGAGTTTGCGCAGCCACCCGTCCGGCTCCAACGAGCTCTAGACATTGGCACCCATAGCGGTCTGCCCCCAAGGGCAAGAAGCTCTCGCGAGCTCGCGCAGCCATCCTTCAGGCTCCCAATAGCTCTCTACAGTAGCACCCATAGCGGTCTGCCCCCAAGGGCAATGAGCTCCCGAGAGCTCGCACAGTAACCCGTCATGCTTCCTGGAGGTCGCGACAGAAAACTATCGTAGCTGCTAGCCCCCAGGGCAAGAAGCTCCAAATAGCTCGCCCGGCCACCGGTCAGGCTCCCAAGAACTCTCGACAACAGTGGCCTTGGCGGTCTGCACCAAGGGCAGTAGTACCCAATAGCTCGCGCAGCTCCCTTCGTCAGGCTCCCAGGAGCTCTCAACTTCAGCGCCCAAAACGGTATGTCCCAGGGCAAGAGCACCCAAAGCTCGCACAGCCACCTGACATGCCCCCAGAGCTCTCGACAGTAGAGTCACTAACGGTGTGCCCCCAAGGGCTATAAGCTCCCAAGAGCTCGCACCGCCAACTATGATCTCCCAAGAGCTCGCACGGCCACCCGTCATGCTCCCAAGAGCTCTGGACAGTAGCGCACATGCAGCCTGCCCTCGCACCGTCAATTAGATCTTCCAAGAGCTCGAAAGCCCCCGTCATTCTCCCCCAGGCTCCCGACAGTAGCACCCACGCGGTCTGCCCCCAAGGGCAATAAGCTCTCCAGAGCTTGCACAGCCCCAAACGCCCGCACCGGTCAGATGACCGTATAGGTCGCCGGCAGATACAGATAGTCGGACGGGTCGCTCTGGCGCGTCCACACATCCGGAGCTCACACCCGCCGCGGCCCGCGGCCCGGTTGTGAAACGAAAGAATTGCTGGCACGCAGCCCGCCGAAAAAGGCAGCGCGTTACGCCCTCCTCGTCGATCCAGTGCCGGTCCCCGCACCGCCGCGACACGTGCGAACCGTCGCACACTGCCCGCAGATGGCCGAGCCGTTCGCGCCTACCCCCCCCCCCCCCCCCCTGCGAGTGACGAGGGAGGGGGGTGGCGAGCGCCCCTGTGTGTGCCGCCGCGCCACTCGAGCCGGCCAAGCGCCCGCCCTGTCACCGCGCCCTCCCCCTCCCCCACCAGGGATGGGGGGCGCGCAGCTGGGTGGACGCCGCCCCGCGGCGCATCCTCCGATCCAGTAATTAGACCGGGACCCGCGCGTTGGCCGCGCGGTGGACCTTCGGCCCATATCGCGTGCCCCTCCCCGCGCCGGGCGGTTGCGGCGCAGCGGGCGCGGACACGCGGCGGGCAGAGAGAACAGGGCGAACAGCAAACATCGGGTAAGATAACCGGACCTCTTACTCCCGCCCAAGGCGAAAAGCACACAGATCTGGGAAGAGAACCGGGCCGCTCCCGGCTACCCAGTACGGCCTTGGGTGTCGCTCCTTGAGGGTCAGGCGCGGCGGCGTCCGGCGAGCGCCAGGGGGCTCCCGACAGTGCCGCACCCAGTAGCTGCGCCTAAGGGCAATAAGCTTCCAAGCTCGTAGGGCTGCCGTCGGTCCCA